AACCGCCTGCAATGCCTGCGCCTCACCGAGCGCTGCGCAGACATCCTCCTCTCTGTAAGGGAAGAAGTAAAAGAAGCCGGCGACCAGGTCGACGAGGAGCTCCAAGCCCCCATCGCCAAGCTCACAGAGTAAGTCTTCACTCGTCGCGCGTGCTCGGGGTCCCACTCCAACCCACACTCACTCACCCAACAGATGCTTCCACACCGTCCAATCCTTCCTCATCAAACAAGTCCACCGGCCCTTCCTCAAGCGCTACCTCAAGCGCGACGAAATCCAAGCACACATCCGCGCGTGCCACGAGGGCCTCACAGAAGCCCTCGTCATGCTCGGCCTCAGCATCCAGATCCGCATCCTGCGCAGCGTGAAGGAGGCAGAGAGAGGCCGCAGGGCCGAGCAGCGCGCGTTGATCGGGATGTTGAGTGCGCGAGAGGAGAGGACGGAAGGGCTTGGGCTCAGCGGGATGGGAATGGGTGCCAGCGAGAGTGCGCTCACGGTCAGGCCTGGCGCGAGCGAGAGCGCGCTCACCGCCAAGCCTGCGACGGAGACGCTGATGTTGACGCCCACGCCGACGATCGCCGTCGCCTTTCCCTCCCCCTGCGCATCGCCCACACTCTCGCCCACGCTCTCATCCCCACTCTTACTCTCACCCCCGCACACGCCCGCAATCACACCCCCATCCCGATCCTCATCTCCCTCTCCCTCTCGCACCCCCACGCGCCCGCAAACCACGCTCCTCCCCGACCTCCAGACCCTCCAAACGACCCAAGACGCCCACGACCGCGCACAGGACACCGAGGACCTGCGCGCGCTCATACGCGCCGCCCTCCGCGCGGGGAGCGACGCCGAGATTTTCCGCCTGCTGCAGATTGGCCGGGAGGAGATGCCCGAGGCCGTCAAGACGCTGCAGAGGGCGCTGGAGCGCGTCGTGGGCGGTGCGGGCTCGGGGACTGGGGCAGGGAAGAAAGAGAAGGAGAAGAAGAGGTGGGGGATAGGGATGGGCCGGGGGAGGACACGCGCGTCCTCCTCCTCCTCGTCGCCATTGTCAAGCGGCGCCAGCGCGAGTCCAGGAAGTGAAAAGGACGCCCGGACGAGCGTGGACGCCGACGGCACGACGGACACCTGGGGCACGACGCCCGACGCGCTCGACCGCGAATTCATCGAATCCGGAATCGACGCGCTGCGGCGCATGTCCCGCGGCGCGGGCATGTCGACGTCCTCGCTCCCGCCGTGGACGATCACGCGCTACGAGGTAGACCGCGAGCAGAAGATCGGCGTCGGGTTCTTCTCGGACGTGTACCGCGGCACCTGGCGCGGGCGCACGGTCGCGATCAAGGTCCTCGCGCCGACGACGCCGCGCGCGCTGTTCGTGCGCGAGGTGCAGGTGTGGCGCGCGCTGCGGCACCCCGGCGTGCTGCGCCTGTTTGGCGCGAGCAGCGCGTGCGGGGAGCGCCCGTGGTTTTTCGTGTGTGCGTATATGAGGCGGGGGAGCCTCGTCGAGTTTTTGAAGAGGGTCGAGATGGGGGCGGAGGGCGCTGCGGGCGCTGCGGGTGCCAGCGGGCGGGTGGTGTTCCCGATTTGGGAGGAGGGGCGCGCGGGGAGGCACGAGGGCGATTTGTATAGGTTCATGCTGGAGATTGCGCAGGGGATGGAGTATCTACATGGAAATGGGGTGCTGCATGGTGACCTCAAGGCGGCCAACGTACTCGTTGACGACGACGTGCATTGTGTCATTTCGGATTTTGGGCAGAGCGAGATGAAGTCGGAGGCGTATAGGATTAGCGGGACGGCGCCGCCTCGTGCGTTTTGTTTTCCTTCTTTTGACGATGGTGCTGACTTTATATACAGGCGGCACGTTGAGGTGGCAGGCGCCAGAGCTCATGTCGGGCGAGAGCCAGCTTGCGCTAACCTCCCAGATGGACGTCTACGCATACGCAATCCTGTGCGTCGAGATCGTCGCGATGGGCAAGCTTCCATGGCCGCTCGCAGACGACGAGGCCGTCAGGCACTTTGTCCTCCGTACGTTCCCTCCATCTCCCTCGCCGCATTGCTGACGCTCTCGCAGGCGAAAACACACGCCCCGCCCTCCCGTTCTCGCGCTTCAACACACCACAGCTGCAGGACCTCCTCCGTGTGTGCTGGCACCACGACCCGAGCGTCCGCCCGCCGTTCGCGGCGATCGTCAGAGACGTCAAGGCGCTGCGCCGGGCGTTCCTCAGCGACGCGGGGGAAGAGTCGCCGGTGCCCGTGTCGTCGCCTATTGCGATCGACAGGAGTCGCCAGGCGTCGGAGTGGGAGTGGGGCGAGCATGCGAGGACCAGGCCGTCGCCGGATATGCGGCCGCTGCCCTTGCCTCATGGGACCCCACGTATGTTCCCCCGGCTTTTCCATTGGCGTCTTGTGCTGACGAGTATTTCAGCTGCGACTGATAGCGTCTTGACGACGGGACACGGTGTGTCGCCGGATTCGTCCTACGGCACCTTTGTCACCGCCGAGGAGAACCTCTCGCCGGGGTCGCCCTTCAAGGCTCAGGCGGGGGTATTGCATCATCGCGAGGACGCAGTGTCGTCGGACCACGTGCGCATGCCAATGCCGATGCCCGTGGTGTACACGCACTCGGGCACTCCAGACTCGCCCTCTGTCGCCTCGTCGCTGTTCTCGCACACGCCGTCGAGCAGCTCGCTCGATGAACTGGGGCTGACGACGCCCGGGCGGCCCGTGTCCGTGGCCGAGGTGTACGAGAGCCCCGCGCTGCAGGACGAGAGAATCAACTTGATGCGGGACGAGAGGCGGTACAGGCTGTTGTTGAGTCATCAGTTCCATCCTTCGTGTAAGGAGGCTGTCATCACCCCCCCTTTTGTGGGCGCTTACATATTATATTTTGTCTCACTACAGTGACACTTCCGCTTTGGGAGCCATCGCAGGTCAAGCTCGGCGCCGTGGGGTATCTGCTCAAGCCGGAGGGAAGGTTTATCACGTTGTTCAACTCTTTCTCGCCGGAAAAGAGTCAGGACAGCGTGGTGCATGGATTGCCGTCGCTGTTCGGGTATGGGCGGGTATCGTCAGGGAGCCAGCGCCAAGTTCGGAGAAACGCAGCGCAAAGAGGGTACGATGCGGTTGTCGGCTTGCTTACGTCCAGAGGCAGGAGCGGCTCGATGTCGTCGTAAGTGTTCCATTCCCAAGGGTATTTCGTTTGTTTGAATTTATCCAACAGGCACAGTATCGCCCGCCGGTATTCGTTCCAACTCCGTGCTGGGCACAAGACGGCGCACATGTTTACGGAATCGACAATGTATCGGTACATGGAGCGTCTAGAGGTCCCAAAGAGGTGGTTCAATGCCAACGTTGATGCGATCATGCAGATCTATGGGCCCGTGCATCATATCCAGAAGGAGGATTTGTTTTTGGGTACCTTCTTCCGTGCTTGTTATTCCCAGTTGCTGACGGCCCCCTTCTCTAGTCATCGGTACCCTCGACGCTCAAGAGCATGCACTGTTCGTGAGCCATGATCATCCGGATGGCCAGGCATGACTTTTTCTCTTTTCTTCGGTTCCTGACTCTGATGTGCCCCTCAGGCACACTTCAACGTCTTTTCGGCGCCCAGGAACGGCGAGCCCTGGGGAACGTTCACCACCGACACGGAGGTCCCGCATGAAATGGGCGGTCCCTCGTATGACGAACCCATTCCAGGCCACGCTATCTCCTCGAGCAAGGTATCCCGGGTTGGCGTCAGCTGGGAAACTGTTCTTATTGCTAGGCTCCGTTTCAAACCGGACGTTTTGGAACCAACGTCATTGTGAACTGGACACCTTTTTTTCCTTTTTTCTGTCTGTGGGATTGAGGCTCTGTAAGACTGTAGTACCCTCTGTTTTGTTCTCTTTTTGCATCTATCGTTATTGCTAGCGTACACTTTCATAGTCCCTTTGATATACCCACATAACAGCACCATCATGACACATTCCTACCTACATTGTATCACGGATTCTACAAGACAGTGCAATTCATGTTCATATTATTATACCAAACGAGCTACGCCTCGGGCCTTCGGCCCGAGTCTTAGCAGTGGGGAGCTTCGCTCCCTTGGGGGCTTCGCCCCCAA